TGTTATCTACGGGACACGTTTTTATTTTCAAGCCCGCCACGTTTTACCAAAACCGCTGCAACTCCTGTGCACCAGGATCTACAGTAGATACAACCATGAAAACACCGAAACACTGAAGTCCGGCGCGTCCCAGGGACATGGATAACTGTCTTGTATCGCGCAATGAAATAAATCAGAAGATATTATAAGAGGAGAAGAAAATACGATAGTTTCCACTTCCCTCGGTGAATTACTGCTGGATACAGAATTATTTAAGCCTAAAGGTATAAAAGAGACTGCGCACAACTGGGCTCATTCGTCAATCAACACGTAAATTTGACTTGAAAGTAAGTGGGCCCTGGGTGGGTGACATAGAGTTCATTGGGGGAGAGCTGTATAATGATGAGGAAGTCAACCTCTGCTGCCTACCTCGTCAAGGAAGAAACAATTTTCTTTTAAAAAATTTGAAATCGCGATGGCATGCCTTTCTATCTAGTTGGCTAAAAAAATTTAATTAACATAGTTCAACGGACCGGTAAAAAATGCGTTTATTAATAATTTTAGTGTTATTTTCTTTTACTTACATAGTTTCGTGTAAAACTCACGTTAAGGCTCTAACTGAATCCATGGGTCAAGAAGTCATTGAGATTAATAGCCCTGTAAAAGGTAATGAATCATAATTTTCCCTATGGCATAGGCAAACAAGCAGACGGACCTGATGGTCAGCAATCGGCGTCGCCCATAGACATGCACAACACTAGAGGTGTTACAAGTGGATTACCGGCCTTTTGGGAAGGCTCTCCTCTCCAGCCCTGGCGTACATATTTCGACCAGATTGGCGATATATTAAAGGAGGGCCAAATTAAAAGTACCCTTAACCGACGAGCATGCATGAAAAGACTGATGACTGTTGATGAAACGAAAGAGGTATGTAGGAATCGTAGTAATTGGCGTTCCATAATCTCTGCCTAGTCCCATGGAAGACAGGCAAGATGTATGTATGGCTCCAGACCCACTCACATGGTGAAAAAGAATGCAAACGTTGTGTCTCCCAGGATTTATCTGAGGTCGTGGTATCACGACTTAGTTTAGTGACTTAAAACAAATAATTTTACTGCCTCGTTGGCCGACTAATTCCAAGTGCGACTGAAAATTCTCAGCAATAGCACGGAATCGGGAATTGTGCCCGTTATATGGCAATAAGCTACATAAATAGTGAAAAGTAACTCATAACATAAATAGTGAAAATTGGGTGATGACCGTGACCATCCACCAAGAAAATTCTTTGTGTGATCCACAAATTGATATTCCGCGCGCGTCTCAGAGAGCCATCAGACCACCACGGATGGGGCCCAATAGGGCTGATGCCGATACGGAGCCGCGGAGAACTTAACGGGTTGCTAGGGCTTCTGCTCAAATGGCAGGAGTAGGAACGGGGTGGTTTTTAGTCAATAAGAGCCTGACGCTCCCTCCCGCCTTACCCAGGCGGGAGAAGACATTCAATGATCCCCCCCCCTAAAATATATTGGTAAACGCAACCACGATACAAGAGAAAGGCTATTATGGTGTTTACAAGGCAGATATACCTGCGCTAACGTCAGTCAGTTAGGGCGATTAAACATGTAATGAATAAACTAACAAAACCATATGATATGAATGCTATTCATCATTTTACAGAACTGCCCATGGGTTTAGAAGAAGAACCAGCTTCAGATAAAGAAGATAAAATAAAAACTAAAGAACCCCAATCGCTAGAAGGAGAGTATAAAAGAATGTCTACAGTAAGTCTCTAGACTACACGAGTCACTGTTTACATGTTACCATTAGCTCATGACGATACCTAAGTACGTATCGCCTGGACAGTCCATGCTACCATCAGTTGACTGGACAATCTCTACACTACACGACTCACTGTTTTCATGTTACCTTTAGCTCATGACGATACCTAAGTACGTTTCGCCTGGACAGTCCACGCTACCATCAGTTGAATGGACAATCTCTACACTACATGAGTCACTGTTTTCATGTTACCATTAGCTCATGACGATACCTAAGTACGTTTCGCCTGGACAGTCCACGCTACCATCAGTTGAATGGACAATCTCTACACTACATGAGTCACTGTTTTCATGTTACCATTAGCTCATGACGATACCTAAGTACGTTTCGCCTGGACAGTCCACGCTACCATCAGTTGAATGGACAATCTCTACACTACATGAGTCACTGTTTTCATGTTACCATTAGCTCATGACGATACCTAAGTACGTTTCGCCTGGACAGTCCACGCTACCATCAGTTGAATGGACAATCTCTACACTACATGAGTCACTGTTTTCATGTTACCATTAGCTCATGACGATACCTAAGTACGTTTCGCCTGGACAGTCCACGCTACCATCAGTTGAATGGACAATCTCTACACTACATGAGTCACTGTTTACATGTGACCATTAGCTCATGACGATACCTAAGTACGTTTCGCCTGGACAGTCCACGCTACCATCAGTTGACTGGACAATCTCTACACTACATGAGTCACTGTTTATTTTTGGTACATTTCAGATAAGTGGAAAAGAAAATATGAAAGACGTGGACAGGATTGATGGACTAAACACGGAAAGTGAAGAAGACAGGATAGAGAAAGAACTGGCAGAAATATATAAGGATACAGCTGGTTAGTAGAGAATTCAGTATTTTCTTAATTACTAACATAGGCTAAGAACATTGTTACTAACAAATTATGGAAGTAATTTATTTTGAAATAAATTTTATTATTATTATGTATGTCTTTACCATTCACGGGACCACAGGGTCCCGGTCATTTGGGAGGCGTACGAGGGGCCGAAGCCAACTGCGCAGATGCCCTTTAGACAACTTTAATTTAAATGTATTGGATACACAAACCGGCGACTATCCCTGTATGCACTATGGAAATGCACCCAAGGATAGTCCCCGGTTAGTGTAGGAATATTGTGGATAATGGAAAAAAAGGTAGGGCTATGGATGGGTTGCTGTGGACCGGTAAATTGGAGACTGTGGATGACTATGGCATATTATTATTATTAATTAATTAAAAAATCGACTTGAAAAAATCACAATACCTCAAACCAAACAAAAAGTAAAAACTAAAACGCAAAAAATAACTACTATTAATACTAATAGGTTACCCTAATAGGTTACCACTGATAGGTTAGAAGTCGGTGCCGGTTAACCGTTGAGGAGATCCCTCGACTGTCTTTCGGCGTCATCATCAGATTGACTCCAGACCTATGTCAAATTGTAATGGTTTAAAATTCCTATTGAAAATATTATTGAACGCACTAGTTGGCCCAACCGGTAGTTAACCCAACCCCAATTAAGCAAGCGTGGTGAGTAATGCTCAAACCTCCGTGTAAGAAGAGGCTTTGCTCAGCAATGGGCATTTATAGGCTGTTGACGATGATGATGATGATGACTAGTTGTCTAGTTGTTGTTTTCCTGGGATCCCATCATCAGATCCTGGTCTGATGACAATGAGACCACCATTCAAACAAAAGAAGATTTTTATAAATCGCTTCTCAATCGGCGGAGTAATCGGTGAACACATATTATTATAAAGAAGTAAAAAAAAAACAATCACTGGAACATAGTACCTCCTACTTTTTTTGAAGTCGGTAAAAATCGCGAGTTACTCACGTGAATATACTGAGAAAAGGTCTACTAGTTTCGAACCACAGAAATTGAGATCGCAGCGCAAGTAACAACACCGATGCTAGCACCAATTCTAGCCAGTAGGCTGGGCGATCAAAGTCAAAGTCAAAGTCAAAGCATTTATTTCAATTAAACCATAGTTTGGTACTTTTGAAACGTCAAC